ACATGTAGGTATAGATTCAATAATTACTAATTGGACTGAAAACACAAGCCATTACTGTCTATCGACTTTCACAAGGCAGTATATACTTCTGAAAGGGCGTTGAATCTGAAATGCGACTGAATAACCAAAAAATAGGGATAGAATATTGTGAATTCGCAATGCTACAAGTAGGGGCCATTCAAAGGTATAGGTGTCAAATGGACTGAATTTGGGCGAGTCAAAATGAGCCGAATTAATATATAAATGGGGGCCTATTCATCCAGGGAACACTTTTTCACTTCTTCTGAGATGCTCATTACGAGCTTAGCCCTGCTGCATCTAATAAACTGTTTTTCATCAAATAAATACAGACTTCTTTACTTCTTTTACCCTTCCCTTCCAACATAAGGATCAGAGGTTCTTTTGTTGTCGTTCAATTTGATTTTCTTATCGTTAGCTGATATTTGGATTTCTTTTAACCGAAGACAATAGGTATTTTTGGTTGGTTTAACTTCCTAAGATCAATGTAAAGAAGTTTTTCTTATGCCTATATTATCCTGTAGAATGTTGAGTTCATCCGGGATGGTAGGATGCTTGATTTTGTACATTTTCTTCCACAAAATCAAACCATTTCACTATTCAGATGATATGAAAAGTACCAAACTCCGCTCTTCCATTGAGATGAAGAACATACATCGCCAGCTTCTGTTGTGATTTCATTATTCAGATTATATGAAAAATACCAAAAAACTGAAGGATCACGCGCCTTCTTTGAAATTTCATCCCCTCTAGAGATAAAAAACTGCCCGCTTGAGGCCTTCCTATGGGATTGTCATTCTTGACCTGCTGCTTGACATTTCCCCATGCTAGGCTAAAGTTCCCGGCCTAAGTGGTCCATTTTTGCATCATTTTTCATGTAATTCTACAGTTGATTTTCCATCTTCTTGATGTTTTCGTCTGTAACTTTGGACCTTGATTATGTAATCGTCATTGCAAACATCTAGCTCAGTTGGTTGACTACCTGAACTTTCACTTTGTTGATTTTTTTTTGAGAAAAAGTGACACAGGGGGAGGGTATAGGAGTTGGTTTATTGAGTGAGTCGGCTTTAAAGGCCGGCTAAGTAGAACGTTTAATTGACTTGACATTCAAGGGGAAAGAAAAGATCCCGAAGAAAATCACGAAAAGACTACAACAAGCATTGGAGAAAGCCATAACATGAACTACATAGTTCTTCCAAAGAGTGGTCAACGAAGTTTTTACAGGATAATGACACAGCGGAGTGCTTTTCGATGTTCCCAGAGAACATTATATCTCAAGGAAGTCTACATCATCCTACATGCGAAAAATACACTACTAAAGGCCTCAAATTTAAAATCCAATCCAACAAATCTCCCCCCAAAATAGATCCAAAATTCGTCTTATAAATATCCCCCTTGGTTCACTCTTTGGAGGATGGAAGATAGGAATTGAGAAGTTGGAGACGTGATTTTTACCATCTAAAAACAGAGGTTTTTCTTTTTTACATCGAAAGGGTGAAAAATAGAGAGCTAGTCGTTGAATAATCGCGTGTTAGCAGACACTTTATGTGTTATTCATTCGGTCCAATTTTAATTGTCATATTATGCTTTTCGAAAGTCAATTTGATTAATTTTTCAAGTTAAATTAGATTACACTAAATTTGATATTTTAAACAAAAAATTAGACATTCAAAAACTATACGAAAAATGCTATAATTGCATTCTTATTTCAAATCAATATGATGGAAAAATACGTCGTAAAATCTTAGTCAAAGTTCTTATAATTTATTTTTAAAAAAAAATCATGACAATTAAAAATGGACGGAGTGAGTATAAACTTTCTTAAAGTGAAAATAAGAACAACTTACCCATTTTTTTTCTCTAAATTTTTACATGTTTATCTGTTAAAATCTTTTTAAATTAAGCTTTCTTAATTTTTAAAAAAAATGAAATTGCGATATGTATCCACCCAGTGTTTGATATCCACATTGAAATCCAATTAAATTTGAATACATGCTGAAAAGTCTAACATTTTTGGTAACCGATTTTCTTATAAAGGCGACTTGAATATGAGAAATCTAATTAAAGATGAAGAAGTATGTACCACTCCATCAGAACTCTCGCGAGTAAAATTGAACTGTTATCATTAAATTGAATATCTAATATTTTTAACGTTATAGTATATCATTTCAACCAACAAGGTAGTCATCGTGCCTATTTATGAATTAGCTAAGCAGTTTTCATCATTACAAAGGTAACTTTTTATTAGATTAACTAGCCTACATTTTAAAAAGAAAAAGATAAATCAGAAAAGAGTTATCATATATATTTTTTAGTGTGTAGGTGATTGTCTAAAATTGCTTGGTGTTGAAGACAAGGTGATAAATAATGACGATGAAGAGACAAGCAGGTAAAAGAAAGTCCTTATTTATTTTTGGAGAACTACCTAAATATACTATATTAAAAAAATATTACCATTTATATCAATAAAATATTTTTTACACTTGCTCACTTTTAATACACTAGTTTCTGAATACGTGCTTTGCACGTTTGCCTTATGCAATATTATATAAATTCATTAGAAAGATTAAAGTTCAATAAAAATATGTGTATAATGAGTACAATCTCAAATAAATGTGACTACAATAATTTTTTTTATTATAGAAAACTAAGGTAAAGATGACTAATTGAGAGAAAATACATAAAAAGAAATAAACATAAAAGAAAAAAATAACATACACATTCATTTTAACACTTTAATCATAAGTTCATAAAAATATACAATTCAAAAAGAATACAAAATCTGTAGATAATTTTCTAAGGTTTTCTAGACACCTTCTCTCATATTCAATTAAAATTCAAATGTTTTCTCCATCAAGTCAAACTAAAGCATGATTCAAATAAAAAAATTACTTTCATTTTTATAAAGTGATAAAATCATATTAAGGTAGATATATCATTATACTTTATGTTGATAGTTTCACTACTTTAACCTTAAATGAAATGGATAATATTGGATGTGAGTTTCATGAAATAAGAAAGACGAATTTATATAGATAAAGATAGAGGAATATCAAAACACATATTAAAGTTTTAAATTAAACATTTGAAGGTTATGAATATGATCAAAACACTATGTTAAATAGACAATAAAGTAATACAATCAAAATCTTTCATTCAAAGTAGTAATCTTTTAGCAATCTTTACTTAAATTATTTGTAGTTAAATAAAAATATACTGCATAAACTATTCAAGTATTATCAAACTCGTCATGTATTAATAAAAGTTGTCAATTAAGTAGCACTTAAAAGAATAATAACAAAAAAAAATACAGAATTAAAATCCATAACAATGCACGATGATACAGAATTACAAAAAAATATGAGTTGCATATCAAATTTATTTTAGACAACCATACATTAACTACAAAATGGAAAAGAAAAACCTAAAATCATAAGCTAACATAAAAAAAAAATATAAATCAATATATATGTCATATCTTATATTTCGTTCAAAGTTTAACACTTGAACTATATTGCAAGAAAACTTCTCTTTTTAATTTCAGATCAATATGTTCTTCTCCTCAGTTATCATCTTCACGACATGTATCTATATCATCATCTAGGAAGAGAATAGAAAATAGTAGATGATAGAAAATAAAAAAATATGATAATCTAGGGAGCAATTTACAGATTTTTGTACTGATATTTGACTGTCTTTTCACCAACCAAAATTTATTAATGGAGCACATTGAATTAGGGGTGTGCATTATTTGGATTAAACCGGAAAACCAAACCAAATTCTAATTTAAATGGTTTTTTTGAATTCTTGGTTTGGTTTTGAATTTATAATTTACTTTGTTTAGTTTTTTGGTTTGGTTTCAATTTAGAAAATGAAAATCGAAAAATCAAACCAAACCAAATACATTTTGGTTCAAATTGGGTTGCACTTTTTCAAACCAAAAATTGAAATTCCAAACCGTATAGTATAAAATCAAGCCGAAAAGCCAAATGCACACCCCTACATTGAATCGTGATACATTAATTTTGTTTTAATTTAAAATTCAAAGAGTCATCGAATTGAAAGTTTCCTACATTATTTTGCCTTCTACTCTAATTGAATTTAATCTAATCAATTGTAATTATGATGTCATAACTAAAAAATTTAAGTGTAGTTATTGAAATTTATATTGTAATAAAATTATTCATATTTAATATATATATATATGATTGTACATGACCTTTATCCTATAGGTCCTCCTCAATTAAATATTTACATTGTATGAATTTCTTCGTATGACAATTGTTTTAAGTGCTAAAAATTTAATAATTAAGAAGAAAAAATGTCATGCAGCTCGATGATAATTGGAAAAGGAATGCTCATGAATGAACTTCAAATTTATTACGATAATATTTTAGTGGTATGTGAAAAGTTTTCTATCATGGAACTTAAATTTACTATTTAATAATAATAATAATTATAATTATAATAATATTAATAATAATTATAATTATAATTATAATTATTATTTAATATAACAATAATAATATATTGCATACATAATTCACTTTTAATTCATATTGCAGATTTAACACAGTGTTACTATAAATGGTAAAAAATAAAAATATCGCTAAAATCAGTAATTATTTATTAAAAGGTATCAATCTAAGTAATTTTTCCTTAATTGAATCCTTAATTTTAGGTATATTCAGTTTTTTTTTTTGAATGAGGAATATTCAGTTACAAAATAAGGAATCAATATTTAAATTCCTAGTTTTAATGATACAATTGTGAAATAAGGAAAAAGAAATATATTTCTCACTATTTTTGTTCATCTAATAATACATTGAACCATTTATTTAGGGAAGATAAACGTAACTAATCAAACACACTTTAATTCAGAAATAGGTTTCCTATAAATTATAAATAGAGAGACGATAGGTCTTTTTTCTTGCAAAAATAATTGTATAAATTTCCATTAACATTAGGTTTTTGATACAATCATGGCTGACTTATTGCCGGGATGTGTCATTCAAAAAATACTCTGTTTGATTAGTTATAAAGAAGCATCTAAGATGAATAGTCTCTACAAAACATGGTCGCAAGCTTGGTTGACTCTTCCCAACTTGGAATTCACAGTAAGTTGTAGGCGAGGCCGGGAAGGTCATACAAAGAAAGTGGATACAATCATGGAGAGATATGGGAAAGGTAAAATTCCTATACATAAGTTTGAATTAACAGAGCTTTTTTCTGATTCTTCCAAACTTTTTCATCTGGTTGATAAGTGGCTCCTCATTGCACTTGAGAATGGTGTAGAACAACTTGTACTTCACTTTACATCATACCCGCCGCCTATTTTAACAATCTTGGCAGCAAAATCATTAAGAGAATTGGTTCTGGACGATTGTACTCTTATGCCTGTGAGTGGGGTTGTGAATTGCAATTCTATGAGAAAGATTTCTCTATCTAATGTGACGTTAGACGAAAACATGATTCAGACTCTACTTGATAGTTGTCCCTTTATTGTCTCTTTCATCCTTAAGGATTGTCCGGGGATGACCGTTCTAAAGATCAAGTCGGATTCCCTCAAGGTCTTGAAGATTATACAATTTTTCCAAACATGTGATATTGATGCTCCAAATTTGGTATACCTTGACTATGCAGGGACTGAAATTCCTCATATTGCAAGAGAAACAAGTCAATTGAAGAACTCAAAAATCATTCTTCATTTTTCCAGTTTAGATACGGAATGGTTTTGTAATTTGAGGAAGTTTCTATCAAATTCGTCCTCTTGGTCTGAAGTTATCCTTTGTTTATCCGACTGCGATGATGAGATCAACATGACAGATTTGCAAATGGACCACATAGGTTCTATTGGATTGGTGGACGTTTTAAATCTCAATATGTTACTGATGGATGAAATTATAGAGTGCTCAACTTTTGTGGATGCTTTACTATGGAGTTGTCATCCTTGTAGACTCAACGTATCCTCAATTGATATTGAAACAGTCACACAGTTAATTGATTGTTTAATGTCTATGAAGAATTCGAGTCATTCCTCTTCTAATGGAAGCACACCTCAGAATAATCAATTAAAAGATATAAAAGTTTTTGATGGAAAAAATCAGCTGCTGCAACTCGAAAGTGAGGAGCTTGCAAAAAGGATTACGAAGGAGCCGGAGAAACCTTATTTTATATTAGATTGGTGATGGAGTTAAGTTGTCTCTATTTCAAATTGAATGCACTTATTCATTTCTAAAATTTACTATTTCATTTGTCAGGACGTAGCCTCGCCTATTTTTAGGTTAGTTATGACGTACACATGACAGTTTTTTTTTGGCACAACATCCAGTTCAGAAAATTGTAAAAGTTGCATTAGTATGAAATTGACAACGCATTAAACTTATTTCTCTGTTTTCCTTCTTCTGAGATGATCATAAAGACTAACAGCACAACTTATTAGAGAGTATATATACCAGTTTCTGTATCAGAAAGAGGTAGTCTGTACTTTCCTTTGAATACCATAGAAAAACAATCCCCCTCCCTACACGTGCACTAACTTCATACTTGCTGCTGCTGGTTGATAACAAAATGAAATAAGAGCTTCCCTTGAAAGGCTATTCATCTCTCACTTGGTGATGCATGACCATATCACCAACGAATTCTGCAAAAAAAAGGTCCAAGTTAGTCAAAGAAGCCATGCCGAAAATAATGAACAAAAATGTAACATAATGAAAGATAAAGGAAAATCAACATCAAGACTGGATAATATATTACTTTAAGTCCTATATATTCATAATTCCCATACTTCCTTTTTTCCATATCATGTTTCATTTTAATAAGACTCGTAAAAAAGTAGGCTCTTGATCAAAAAAATAAACAAACATTCCTCTGTAATGATTTATGTGTCCCTGATAATGATTTTCTTTTTTTTTTTCTATAAAACTTCTCAAAAAGAGATAATCAAAGTCCTAGGATAAGAGAATAATTTGATAATTGGTTGAGTTTTCTCGTCCAGACTTATAATGGTGTACAACTATAAAGTTGTCATGTCAGTGAGTTGGTGAAGTTGTTAGCATACTTCACAAATAGAAACAGACGAGGTAGTTTGTATAGTGGACGATAAATCTTTTTGGTCAATATAATCAAATGACAAACAACAAGAAGATTCATTCATTTAAAAGAAAAGGAGAGTTAGCAAGTCTTCTCAAGAATTCACAAAGAACATTGCAAGGGGTCTGGTCCCTCCAAGACTAAAAATGTGAAAAGGATGACAAGAGAGCTGTCAAAAAAGTTGTCACCTCAGATGTGGTTGGTGCATGTCACTTTAGGGAAGCATACTCTCAGCCAATGGTCATCTCAAGGAGTAAATGCTCATTTTATAAAGTCTCTTATTTAAAACACAAATTGAAACTTTGGCATACAAAAAGTCACAATCTTAAAAAGAAAAGATCATCTTCAAGGAAGAACTCAAGCACAAGAAGACATACAACAAGGACCTGATCAACTGAGAAGTGCTTCCCGTACCTGCTGGTGTTCTTGAATGGTTGTATTGAGCTATAATTGTAGGATTCGTTTCACTCTTGTTAGAAACGTTTCAAATCTTTGTTCGAGTCTTCGTAAGAACATTGATAGAGTTAACTTTGTGTCTTATGGTTAAGGTCTATATTAATCAGTGAGGGTTAGTATAGTGGGTAATGGATGCATTGAATTTGGCTCTTTTAAGCAATAGGAGTACTACTTAGTGTGGGATTAGGGTGTTAATGTTTCACTTTGCTTGAGAAGATCAGTGAAAACAGTTGGAAAATCATGTGTGACATGTTGTGATTTTACTCTCTTCAGCAAAGAGATTTCCACGAAAACTCTTATGCCTGTTTTACATTATGCTATTTATTTTCTGCACTTCAATTCTGTCGAGGGACCTGGTCCTGAGTTCACCGGTGGACGCGTACATTTCAACAGAGGTAGTTGAAAAATAAATTTTAAATACACCCAACTTTTTCAACATTCTCATCTCTGTCTTTGTCTAATGCTTCCCGTGGTCAACTAAAATAGAGTGTGCATGAAAGGTTCAAGCAGCTCATAATATGTCGATGTCAATGGTAGAAAGCAATTACTTGGTGGAACGCTATCATCAATCTTCAAAACTAAAAATTTATCAAGATTTAGATCCTTAATAGTCTTAAGGCTTCAAGGAAAACTCAGTAGGATACATATCATCAAATGTCTCAAATTCAATTTCTGTTTACTAGAGCCGTGATCCATAGAAGTTGCAGTATTGTACCTCTTTGACGTATCTCTTCGGGAACATTCATCAAACAGTTTGACTTTGCTGCATTCAGGGCCTGGTGACTCTTCATCAAGCATTTTGATTGGAGTCTCGGTTGCAGCTCTGTGACTACCTTCGGGCAGCAATTACAGAAAAATTTGTTGAATGCCTTCGGTGACTCAAATGAGCTACAAAGCTAAAGGTGGAAGAAGTTTCCTCTACTTTTTTGTTGAAAACTTTAGTAGACATTTCATCAAACATTATTGTCCACATGGATTGAATGTTCATCTAATAGAATTTTCAAACAGCTCCATATGACTCGACATTTTCCATAGGGCTTGAGTTTCTTCGGCCAAAGGAGAAAGCAATCTCTCGGCTCCATCTTCTGTAGCAAAAATAGAATATATACTGTTCATTTCCGCAATGCAGAGCTAACTTAACTTAGACACTACACCTGAATATTTAATTACGTATTTCACAAATATTGTCACACTACACCTGAATATTTGACTACGTATTGCACAAATATTGTCATTTTGTTAATATTTAAATTTTATATAAGGAAATTAGTAGTACAAGGAAAGTTGGACAGGTAAATATTGTATCAAAATTTTACTAGCATAATAACTCTCTTAACCATAAAGTCATGGACATATATATTTTATCATACCAAATTAAAACCAATAACCTCCCAGACACGACTATAAAATATATCTGACAGAGTTGGTTGAAAACTGCAGAAGCTAGATGATGAAAAGCTGATTAGGAGCAATATTAAGTTTATATTATTATCATACCCCTTCCCTATTTTTATCCGGTGTCTGATATTCATGTGGTGTTGAGGAAGCTCTCTCTATTAAAAGCCTATCAAATTGGCATTCTGTGGAGTCAAACTAAAAACAATAAACCTTGAAAATCAAAACATCTGATTAAGAATGAAAAAATAGTACCACTCCACAACAACTATCCTTAGTAAAATTGAATTGTCATCATTAAGTTGAATATGTAATAACATTAAATCATTCAACCAACAAGATAGTCATCGTGCTATTTATGATTTAGCTTAGCACTTTAGGTAATTTTTATTAGATTAACTAGTCTATTTTTTAAAAAGATAAAGATAATGAGAAAAAAAGTTATTATATTTTTTTGTGTGTTGGTGACAGGGGCGGATTTATTAAGGCTCGTGGGGGTGCCACACCACCCACGAGCTTCGATGGAAACTCTATTTATATATACGTATTTATATACAACATATGTATAAATAACAAATGTGCCACCCACAGAACAAAATTAATCTTTGGCGCTGCGGTAGAGCATCTACTTGATGGATCTTAGGTCGCGTGATCTAGCGTTTCTTTTTATAAATGAGAAGGCACATTTTCTTTGTTTTTTTATTTTTTTTTACTTACTAACTTATTATTAAGATTAATCAATAATTATTTTTAACTAATTTAATTTGATTCTTTAACTTTTTTTTATATGATTAAATATATTATAAAAAAAAATCTCTTCACTGTTAAAATCCTAGCTCTACCTTTAAAATTTTGAAGAACAAAAAAATTGTCATTAATTAAAGCTTCAGCCTTTCGTTCATCGCGCAATCATGCTCTCTCATTCAACCACAAAACGAATAATTCTATCTGAAAATTGATTTAATCAATGAGTCTACTGAGCATTAGAGACGAATTCAAAATTTGAAGATTTTGATGCACCAATACTATCTTAATTTAGGTAGTTTACGAAACTTTTACTATAATAAAATAATGAAATAAGACTAAACTGTATTTCGCGAGTGGTTCCTCTAGCTTGTACCAACTAAACAAGGGCATTTCGCTTCTTATGGGTGCACTGTTGATTATATCCTACTTTACGTATGTTTTTCACGATAGATATACATATATACACGTGATTTCTTTTTGAGGTTAACGGATGCACACATGCACTCCTATCAAATCATAAATGTGCGCCTCTGTTGGGTACCATGTAGGTCCACCTTTGCTTGGCACCCAGTGTCTCTAAATCCTAGATTCGCTTTTGGTTGGGGATTGTCAAAATCCTGTTTGATAAACCAAATAAGAATCCTAAACAAAAGGAAATGGGATTCCTATAAATTATAAGAGGGACTTTCCTTTTAGTGCCTCTTTGCAAAAAAAAAAAAATTGTAAAAATTTCCATTAACATTAGGGTTGTGAAACAATCATGACTGACTTATTGCCAGAATGTCTCATTCAAAAAATACTCTGTTTGATTGATTATAAAGAAGCAACGAAGATGAGCATTCTCTCCAAAATATGGCTGCAAGCTTGGTCGACTCTTCCCAACTTAAAATTCTTCGTTAATTGTTGGCAAGGCTGGGGAGTGGGTACAAAGATTGTGGACACAATCATTGAGAGACATGAGAAGGGGAAAATTCCTATGCATAACTTTGAATTATCACTGTTTTTTGTTGATTCTCCCAAACTTTTTCCTCTGGTTGATAAGTGACTTCTTAGTGCACTTGAGAATGGTGTAAAAGAACTTGTACTTCACTTTAAATCATACCCGGTGCCTATTTTAACAATATTGGCAGCAAAATCAATAAGAGAATTGGTTCTGCACAATGGTACTCTTATGCCTGTGATTGGGGTTGTGAATTGCAATTCTTTGAGAAAGATTTCTCTATCTAATGTAACATAAGACGAAAACATGCTTAAGACTCTACTTAATAGCTTTCCCTTTATTTTCTCGTTCATCCTTGACAATTGTTCGAGGATGGAAGTTCTAAGTGTTGTTCATCTTGTATTCCAGACATACTTAGAACAAAACTTTGAATATCTTTGTAAGAAAACAAAGTTTAAAAACATTTTCACAACTAGAAAATTAAAACTAGTAGCGAAACTAGAATCAGAAACAGATTTTTTTAAAAAAAAATATACAAAATATTTTTCTTAAAGAAGA